GTGTGGTCTATGCCTTGCGGGGTTAAATGCAGTCCGAGCTGATCATGTCCCAGGCCCTCAGCGTTCGGGGCCACATCGTGAGTAGGGACTGTCGTTGGGAGTGTACTCTGGGCAGGGACCATATCCTGTTGCACAGCTGGGGGACAAACGAACATGGAAGGGCATAAAACATGGTGCTGTGGCTGTGTGCAAGCAGCTGGACTGTCTATATATATTTAATATATATATTACATATATTATATATATATATATTATATTATATATATATATATTATATTATATATATATATATATATTATATTATATATATATATATTATATGATATATCTATTTGACGATATATATATATAAATAACTCTCTCTCTCTCTCTCTCTCTCTCTCTCTCTCTCAGTGGCATGGCCACATCCGTGGAGTATTAGCAACAGCTGGTAGACCCTCCTCAAGCACACGGGGATTAGAATTTCTTTTGAGGTGGTGGCGCCATGTACTGCTGGCCCAAGAAGGTTTGGAGGGCTGGTTGGCCCTTTGCCAACACATATGAAGGCCCTGCCGCCTTGCTGGCCCTCCTATTGTTTCCGGGCCTGTGGCACATGCGCCACTGCCTCGGAAAACAATTAGGAGAGCTGGTTGGCCCTCTGTGAGCACAAACAGAGGGCCTACCAGCCCTCCCAACCTATTCGTAGTCCGGTTGCACAATGGACCATGGTCCGCAGAGTGTGAGCGCCGCGTAAAAAAACTTATGTCAGTACTTTTTGCTTTAATGCATGGCACACCATGTGTTGTCTCTGAGACACTTCAAGCTTCCAGTAGCCAACGTCAATATGGGAATTCAAATTTTTACAATTAGTCATATCTGTGCTACACAACGACCAGGGTTCCCTGGCTGATGGGCTTCCAGGTGATCCACATGGGGTACGAGCCATCCCTGCTAATGCAAAACTTGATGTCACAAAGGGGTAAACATAAGTAAACGGTGTTGGCTATGACTTCAGATCAGAGCAGAAGACAAAGCTTAGGAAAGGAAGTACCTGAATGAGTTCTTCCACCTTTGAGGGTTCGAGTGACCTTTTCTTGATCCCAACTTTCCTCCATCCTCCTTGGAATTTTCCCATCTTCCCTCCTTGCTGAGCATCTTTTGGGACAACAACTGGAAGATCCCAACTTCGCCCTGACCATGGTCGCTCATGGGTGTGGCCCTGGGCATGGCTCAGGTTTGCCCAATTTGGACTGGTAAGCCACACAAGATGTCAAATATTCTAAATGAATAAGCCAGTGAAGCTTGGCCAGGGGCAGGAACCTGATGTGCAGAAAGGGGGTGGTGGGAAAGAACTTCAAAGACGGGATATAGTAGGAAAAAACGACATTCAAATTTCTTTATGGAACACAGAATAAGCCTCCAAGGTTACAGGGGGAAGAAAGAAAAAAACAAGACTCCAAGTGCACCAGATTCCTATTTCTTTGTTGACACAATTCCCTGCGTAGACCGCTAACAACGCAGACCTGCCGGGTCTGTAGTTCTGAACCCAGGTCTGCAGAACCATGACAGCAGTGTTGTATGGGAGACAAGGCAATGCTGGACTTGGGCACATTCCAGTCTCAACCAATGTGTTCATCATTGCAGTCTAGTAAATGGGGAGGAGATGCTACTTGACAGCCCAGAAGATTCTCTCAAGTACCAGGATGCAGGTTAGCTGCATTATTTTTTATCTTTTATTTTTAAACCTCAATTTGATTACCATAAATCCTTTCGGAGGCTGGGAATCACCATAAATCCCTCCACATCTCAACGCAGAGTACTGGGGCCATCACCCAGCTTCGGCTAGCAGGAAACAGGGTCCGGTGTCCCATTCATTTGCTGTCAACAAGAAATGCAGGTGTTCTACCTATCCCTACCTTGGACCCTAAACCCTATCCGTCTGTTGCTTCCTGCTTTAACCTTCCCACACCTTAACTCCACTTATGCAGTACCCTCTTTACTGCTTTTACCCAGCTTTAACTTGATGGAAACTGGGTCCAGCGTCCCATTCAACTGCTGTCAACAAGAAGTACCACTGGTCTTAACCCTCGTCATCTACTGCAACCTTTCCGCTCCTTTTTTTGCAACACACTTGAAAACGCTTCTCCCCATTATGGTTGGGAGATCCGAGAGGGCGACATTGATTACTTCCAGTTTGGAAGGATCTACCTCCCCTCACCCCTGCCTAAGTTAGGCCCTGTTGCTACTGATACCCTTGCCATCTGGTTCCTATCAAAGTTCATTCATTCTTGAAGCTAATTCAGATCTTCCATAGGGTCAAGTGGGAGTTTTCATATGGGTCACAAGTTCACAACTCAAAATTAAGTCTGCATAGGGTCAAGTGGGAGGGTTTTTCTTTTTTTTTCAAAGAACAAGAAACCCTGTCCACGCGACACCTGCTGGGAACTGGGCCCAGCGTCCCTGAGAAGAATATTGTAAAGCCGACTCAACGCTCCTCCATGTTACGGCCCGGGGACCCCTGTCAGCATTGATTGCTTCCCCTGGGGAAAATTGGCTGAGAGTCAAGCCCACACTCTTGCAATGACTTGCTGGTTCCAGGTTGCCTGTAGCCTCTCTCTGACGAGGCTGTACCATAGGTAGGGACAGATTCGTAATTTTGTTTGGCTGAGGGCTAACCGAGAGACCTACCTGTGAGGAAAATTCGTGAGGGACATATTTGTAAATATAAGAAATATGGGCCCAGTACTAACTCGAATTTCCTACAGCTACCCTAACTGCGAATAGCAGACCCGGGCTACTTTTAGGACAGACAGGCCCAATGGGCCAACGCTGATAGACGGTCCTATAGCCTATAGCCGGGTAGGGAGAGGCGCTAAGGACCGAAACAGAAACGGTGCCGGTCGGTCAGTCAGTCCGGTTTAGGTCGAGTCTAGGCTAGGGTAGAGTATAGATAGGTTTAGAGAATCGATCCGGGGGCTTTTGGCAGTTGACACTTCGTGGTGGAAGTTGCTGCGCACGCGGCATCAGGTCGTGGTGACTGATCCATGCATGGGAGACGGCGGACATAGCCAGACCTTCGGAGCGCTGACCAGACTGGGGTCAACGCTGTCCGCTCTGACTCTCTGGGAGTGAAAGCAGTCTGGGCTATCAGAGGTCTGATGCGTTGGAGCACGTGGTGCACTGCTGACCCTCCTCAGGAGTAGGGTCCCAGTGGTGATGCAGCCATAGCTGCATCTTCTCAGAGAATATCAGCATCTGGAATTCATCTTCATCAGGGACTGTTGGCGCTGAGCTTCTTCCTCATCATCTGAGTGGCGATTGGCTCTGGGAGCCTGTTTCATCTTGGCGCAGGCCACTGAGTTGGATGTCAGGGTGGCGCTGGGTGTTACCCGAGGTTCTGGTGCTATTTTTAGTTGTCCAGAGTGTGTGGGGTTGAGGCGCTACCCCTCTGAGGGTAGCGCAACAGGGTGCTGAAGTTATTCAGTGAAAACGATGCTCTGAGTTTAATAAACAGTTGTAATACTGTGTTCGAGTTGTCATCTCTTCCTTGATTTCTGGCTGTGATCTCTCGGTTGTCTTCTACGAATGCTTGTTGGGATCCGTGTGGAGAGAATTCACTGAGTTGTGTATTCTGTCACTTCGCTCCTCTGAGTCTTCCGCTGCGTTCTTTCTGTTGGGGGGAGTGACACTCCACTACCTCTCCCCTTCCTTCTGTTCATGTATGGGCGTGTAGGGGAGTTCCTGTGAGCGAGTGTTGACAAAATTTCAACGGACAATCATGTTCATAACACTCTCATGGCTGAAACGGTTTTCACCTTAGCAGTAGCAGATGCAGATCCCAGGGCTCGATCCCTAGACCTTACCACACCCGTGTACAGTATAGAGTCGACCCCTGTGTATTTGAAACCGTGACCTGTGTTTTAGTAGTTGACGTTGCTTGTCGTAGGTCTGTGTAGCTGTAGGGTTTCGATCTGTAGATTTGTCGACTAGGGGTCATAGTTGTGTAGAGGCCGTATCTGTAGCAATCCTGAAAGGTCAAGGTCGTAGCTGCTACAGTCCCGAAAGGCCAAGTCCACAGACTTCCGGAAGGTCCGGAAGTGGCCTTTCAAGTTTTTCTCACGTTATTCACAGCAAGTGGGCAAGTGGTGAGTCCAACTTTGCTTGGTCAGCGGTAAGCAGTCCCAGTCTCACTTTGTACAGTCAGCAAGTACCATGAGGGACTGTGTGCACCATGGGCCTGGTGGAAAAGGGCAGACCAGTGACTTACAGAAGTATAAATCAAGAGGCAGCGTCCGCCATTCATTCATTCCTGTGTGAGCCATGCGGAAGCGCTGTCCAGGCGTCTTGTGCAAGGTGGTCTGCAGAAGCCCGAGGTTGAAGTGGGCTGAAGGGAGATAGTTTGTCCATAGCCAGTAGTAGTAGAGCGGCCATAGCCGCTGTAGCTTAGAGGCAGAGTTCAGCGTGTGTGTGTGTGTGTTTGTTTTGTACTGAGTTGGTTTGCGTGGGATATCCAGGGGGATCCAGAGTCGAGTGCATGCAAAAGGGTTTTGTGAATACAGTGTTGGACATAGTATGCGCCATAGCCAGTGGAAGCGAGTTTGTATCCAAACTGTGTTCTCGACTTGAATATCTCTGAGCTTTGTGTGGGCGCACAGCGCCAGCATGGATTGACATCTGTTTGCATGTATGTGAAGAAGAAAGTGAGTCTGATTGCATGGCAGTCCCCTCCCTCTATCCAACCTACCCCTTTTGAAGAAACATAAAAAACAGCCTGACTAGCCCGAACCAGATACCCTATGTGCTCCAGACACAGCGCTGGGCCCTTCCGACTCTGTCTGTGTTACCTCCCCTACCCCTTGGCCTTTTTTTCCTTTCACATTCCCTACTCCCCTTCCTTGTTCTTTTTTTTTTTCCTTTGGACCATTTGTCGATTTATGTGTGTCATCCTTGCGCAGGGGCCATGCTAACCTTCTCTGCATCATTCCAATGTTAACGGATGTCCCAAAGGAGTCAAGTGGGAGTTCCGACTATGGGTCATGGTCACAGCTAAAATTGAAGTCCATCTAAGGTCAAGTGATTCTCCGGTTTCATAGGTAGGTGGCTATCAGACGAAGAGGCTCTTTCACTACAAGGAGAAGCAGCAGCCATGACATGGCAAGTGCCGGACACCCCCACCCGATACCTTGGCATACTTATGACAAGAGAAGGCCTAGCACCTCAAATGGGCCAGAACATACTGGCCAACCAAATCAATAAAATAAGAAGGTGGGGCAATGTCTTTACTTCCCTCATCGGTCGAGCACTGGCTCTCAGCATGTCGGTCTTTTCAATGATGTGGTACATAGCCTCCATCTGGACAGTTCCGGATAGCTCTATCAAGGAGTTTAACCAAAAGGCCAGGCTTTACTTATGGTCAGGGGACCCCAATAAGGAGAATGGCATATCTAAGATCACATGGCACTATGTGACGAGGAGCCCACAAAGAGGAGGTCTAGGGACTATAGACCCTGGAACAGAAACCAAAGCCCTGCAAATCAAGTGGATCATCAAAGTACTGATGAACCCAGATAGTGCATGGAACAAATTAGCCCTAGACAGCATCAGATCCGTGGCCCCAGGGCCATCACCGAACGACATGTCAGGACTGTTTTGGGTAATGAACAAATACTGGGTCATAACCACAGGGCGAAGGAATCGAACGAGGGACACGAGACTGGAGGGCTATAGGCCGTCTACTCCATACTGGTCGGCGCTGCTTCAAATCTGGAGAAAAATAATTCCTAGTAAGACCAATAGACCTAGATCCAAGGATGAAGTATTAAGGCAACCGCTCTTCGGAAACCAATGGATAACAAATGAGGGTGATAACCCGCTCTTCCTAGAGCACAGATGGCTCTCTTGGGTCAAAAATGGAATCTGGAAAATAGATCACTTATGGAATGAGGACAGAAGGGAATGGAAGACTGAACAGAAAGTTAGCGCTCAACTGAAAGGATGCCACAGACGAGGATCCAACCTCCTATACATAATTGGCCGCATCCCACGAGAATGGAAAGATATCCTGACAGAAGACGCACCATGGAAACCTGGAGAATGGGGGATTATGATACAAGAAACGACTCCCTCCAGAGCCTTCCAGTTCTCCCACATGCAACAAGGCTCTCGCATCAGGGCCTCCTTTCTGTCTTTCCCGATATCCATGACCACCACCGGTATGCCAACCATCCGGAATAGCGAGGTGGAATCGACA